AACGGAACCTACAGTATGACCTTAAGGGGAGGTGGTGAGACCTCCCATCCTGGAGGACTTTATGAGAAAATCGGACCACCCTCTGGCAGAAATGCTTCGATTTGGATCCTTCCCTTGAGCAGGGGAGGTTGGACTTGATGGCCTGCCTTCTCCAACTGAATTATTCTATGATTTTATGAGATAATAATCTTTATGTTGGGTAGAAAATTGTCCTGTGTCGGACAAAGCGTAATGGATCCCTTTTAATGTAATTTGGGGCAATGGAACCCAGTCTGTCTGGCAAGATCCTTGTAGAGAACGCTCGGCATCTTGGCTAATCATTGTGATGGGATGACACGGATCCATGTGGCTGGGTTCTTTGCCGGGTGTTGGAATGAAAAGAGTTTTCACCTATCAATAGGCATCTGGAATGTACCTTCTATTTAAGACCCATGAAAGACACAGGAGAATTATATATACTATATTTTTCCGTGTATAAGACTATACTTTTGTCTAAAATCTTTAGACTAAAAATTGAGGGTCGTCTTATACATGGAAGTAAACTGAGGAGAGAACAAAAACAAGTGGAGGGGAAAGCAGGGATCAAAGCGATCCTGCAGCGCTTTGATCCTGCAGCGCTTTGATCCCTTTCCCCACACCCTTGCTAAGCCCCACTTAGATTTCTTAATTTTGGATTAGAAAAGTGGGGGCGTCTTATACATGGGGGCATCTTATACATGGAAAAATACTGTACCTTTTTTTTCCTAGAATACACAGTTATAACCATTTAATCCAGGGAGTTGATTAGGTTTCAGTTGTTTAATTGTTTTATCTAGTTCATTTAGAGGAAATGTGCAAGAAAGGAGAATGCTGTATTGTCTGAGACTCTCCTTTTTCATCATATCAAATTTTAGCAAGCTATTCCTGCCCACCAGCTATGAGCAATATCCTTTTTGAACAAGGCCAGCTACCGGTTCCATCCTTTTATGGGAATCGTGGCTCTGCTCTTAATCTGGCTTCATGAAGAAGGCAGAGGAATGGTAAATAAATCCGGGGGAAAAGGACCCCCTTAGGGATCATAAGCAGGAAAAGGATTGGTCCTTTTGTCACCCACTTCTTTTCTCCCCAGCGCCTTCGGGGCTTGCTTTGATGTTTATTTTTCTTTTCTTTTTCTTTTTTTTAAAGCCCCAGCGCCTTCTGGCTGGGCTTGCTGTGTGCTTTATTATTATTTTGGGTGTGTGTTTTTTTGCCAGAACGGATTAATCGTATTCCCATGCATTTCAATGGGAAATGGTGCTTCGACTTACGACCATTTCGAGTTACATTTATCTTCTGGAATGGATTATGGTTGTAAGTCGAGGCGCCACTGTATACTGGAGAGATATAAGCAAACATGGGAAGTAGCCAGTGTCGGTCACATTCTCCTTTAGGGATTGGCTCACCCTTCCTAAAAGCCGTCTGTATGCCTGTTGGTCATGGAAGGTTAATTGTGTGATGTAGGAAGGAGTGCTTTTGCTTGACAGAGATATCGGGGATCATACCACCATAGACAGGATGTGTGCATCATGTCACACGCGAAAGCGCTGCAAGTTGGGCTCATTACGCTGGCGCCTCTGCTCACAAGTTCAAGATTTGTGTGGCCATCTTGTGGCCCTCCAGACTTCGTTGGGCGTTCATTCCCAGCGTCTCTCACCTTTGGTTGCTCTGGCCAGGGCGGAGGGGCCTTGGAGTTCAGCAGCACATGTAAAGGCCAATCCTGAGGGAGATGCAACTTCTGACTCGAGATGGGCACAGATCGCTGGTTCGTACTGGTCCATCCATCAGTCCAACAGGCATTACAGCGCTTCAGAGCCCTGCCTCCTCAGGCAGAGCCCTGCCTCCTCAGGCAGATGCCCATGCCAAGGCAGCCACCCGGCTTCCCTGCCCCACTTCCTCTAAGCTCTGCCTTTTGAGTGGATGCGGTTCCTGCCCATCTCGATTTCCGACATCACGTTCTAGATGGGTGGTATACAGCTCTAATAAAATCAAATAAATAAACCAAGCTGGCCCACAGAAGGTACAGCTTTATCTTGAGCATCACTGTTCCCGTTCCCTTGGTGTGATGTTTCTGTTAGATGATGGAATGTCAACGATACAGACCACAAACAAAACGTGCTGCTGGCCATCAGTCTTATGTATATAATAGAGCCGACGTGGATGTTGAGTTACGGCCCATTGGGCAAGCAAATAAGATTTGCAGAAATTGTCTTCTCCAAGATTCGTTGGCTCTGGCCGTCCTGCAAGCATGCGTAGGATTTATTTTTAAAAATGCAAAAAGTATTTTAAATAAAATATATGAAAGATGCTTGCTGACAGCCCTTATCTGAGAAGGTGCACAAGATCTGATGGCAGGACCAGTGCCCGTGGAAAGATGGATAGCCATCCTGAGCCGCCCAGAACGGTCCGCGCCAGAGAAGCCACGTGACCCATCCGTCTTCGCTTCGTAGACCCGAAGCAAACAGGAGAAGAATGGAGGAGGCGAAGCCGCTCAACAAACCGCCCTGTCCTTTTGCCAAAGGGCCTTTGCCGAACGGTATTGATTTAACAAGTGCAGGCCTGTTCCACCGTCTCTCAAAAGCACTTCCTCCTCGGTCAATAGTAACCAACTGTTTGTTTTGCTAATCGGAGAAAAGCAGGGGAACAGCCAGGAGGGGAGGCTCCTCGGAGAGCCAGCCGACACCGCTCTCCATTCACTGGCAGACAACCGGATTCCTAATGGGTCATTTTTCGGCCGTGTAAACAGTGGCAGGACAAAAGCTTAGGCAACGGACATGCCACGATAGCAAAGAGGAGAGTGATTAAAGAGGCGCCCGTTGTTTATCTTTCTTTCTTTCTCCTTTTGAGGCTCCTGTTGTCCATGTTGGCTACCGACTCTTATCAGTAGCTGTGTGTTTTTCCAACACCAGTAGCTGAGAATCTCAAGACTGAGGGTGTTGTGGGCTCCACAGAGGGGATGTGGTTGGGGAAGCCTTTGTGGTCTCGACCGGCCGAGAGGTCTCGTCTTTTCTTTCTAGGAAGAAGAGGACAAGCTTGAGGGGGTGGCGTGGCACGGCCTCTAGACAGAGGGGGTGTGTCTTCTGATTTTCTAGGTGTACGTTTGGATTGGCACTCTCAGTCTCTTCCTTCATACTTCTCTGCCATGGCAACTTCCTGTTTCATCTTTCTCCTCCGTATTAGAGAGGCGGAGGCGGATTTTCTCAACCGGGGAAAACCATCTGCAATTTTTGACTAGACAGACTGATTTACAAATGTTATGTCCCAGTCTTGGAACATGTCGAGCCATTGAGGCTCTGTGAACCCACGTGTCCTGGTTACGTCTTTGAAAATTGCCGTAAGAGGCAGAGTTAGAGAAAGTCGTTTGGGTGACGGGAAGCTCGTTGTCCTTGGAAGGTGGAAATCTAGCATTGGTTCAGCCCTGAATCAGCCATGGTGTTCCTGGGGTTATGCAGAGTGCTTTTCTGTGCTTGCCCCACCTTAGGGGTTTCCTTTGGACTTCTAAACAATCGGGCCTCCAGGAAGGAGCCTAGAAATTTTTATTATGGGCCAGAAGGGAGCAAAATGGTGACCACACAGCATCTCCCCCCTCTTCCAACAGGTTGGGGCGTATGACCCTCCAGAGAGTGGTTCCCAACTCCATGAGTAACCCAGGTATTCTTCAACTGCAATTCCCAGAAGCCTTCACCACCCGCTGTGCTGGCCGGGATTTCTGGGAGTCGTAGTCCAAGTACTCTTGAGTTACCCGAGACTGGGATGCCCACTGCTCCAGATCATTCTACATTTCCCTTGCAAAGGGTGGAGACAGAAAGATTATGCCAAGAGGCTCAAAAATTTGAGCCTGTATCTATACCCCACAACAGGTATTCAGGGTGGATTTGATTTAAATCAAGTCAGTTTCAGTCATGATTCAAAGCATGATTTAAATCCCTAGTCAGTAAGACTCTATTTCAATCATGATTTTTAAATTTAAAGTCTCATTCTTGCTGGTAGTTATAACCTTTAATAATTTGCAACCAGATGAAGACTTTATATTTAGAATAATAACCTGTCAGATTGGTTAAAATGGCTTTATCAGGAAAGATTTTAGTTTAACAGGTTAATCACTCCTATTTGGAGATCTCTTTAAATTGTTTCATTTAACTAAAATAATAACATTATATATAGTATACATACATATTTGCTTAAACATCAATGTGTTCATTATTTATACATAAATGTGCAGAATAACAATGGCGTTCAGGTCTTTTCCTGAACTTTCTTAATTTTATACCATTTTTACTGTGAAAAGGTGCAAGTTTTTCTTGAAATCGTTGGAAACAGGGGAGGTGCTAGAGGATGGGAGGAGGGCCATTTTTGTCCCTGTCTTCAAAAAGGGCAAAAAGGAGGAATCTGGGAACTATAGACGGGTCAACCCCACTTCCTTAAGCTCAGCCTCTTCCCTTCCTGGATTCTGCGGAAAAATAGTGGACAAAAGTCCTTGGGCACCCTCGCAATGTGGTTTGGAATCTTTTACACCCACTCTTGAGAACAGAGAAGAGCGTCTTTGGGGCCACGAGGGAGAATGGGTGGCAGTTTTAAAGAGAACAGGAGATTCCTGGTCACGAGAGATGAGAACCAAGAGGGTTGTGGGCGGCTGAATTTCATATTTAACCAACTCCACCTTATATGTTGGCCTGTGTGGGAAACCAGGAGACCATCAGCCCGATTTCCATAACAAAGGGTGGGAGGAATCTACAAAGCGTTCCAATTATGCAAAGATTTTATCCGTTGTTTCCTGTTGTTCATACCATAACAGTTTGTTTATTTGTTGTTATTTTTCCTAAATTTGCGTCCGGGCCACGTTAAGGCAAAGCCCTCTTCTGGGCGGTGAACGGAGAATAAAATCAAACAGACGTCATGAGACATCAAACTAAAGATTTTGTAAGGTACAAACCACGCGTTCCCAGCGCTCTGGCGTTAAATTTTGCCGTGCTGTTGTTTTCCAGCAACTGAAGCATCCCAACCTGGTCAACCTTTTGGAGGTTTTCCGGAGGAAGCGGAAACTTCACTTGGTCTTTGAATACTGCGACCACACGGTTCTCCATGAACTGGACAAAAACCCGCGCGGGTAAGTAACCTGTTTCTCACAGGGCTCCGTAGAAGGTGGGGAAAGAGAAAGAGAAAGAGAGAGAGAGAAGGCCACAGGGAACACTTGTAAAAAGTTTTTACAAGTGTTCCCTTTAAAAGCTTTTATCACAAGGGACTGAGTCCCTAACAACGATTGACGCAGCTGCGGTGCTTGGTCGCCCTGGACGAAGGGATGCTCGCGAAGGGAATGGCGTGGGAGCCCCATGTGCCGAGGGGATGAGGTGGCCAAGGTGGGAACACTTGGAGTGATGTTTTGGAGAGGAGGTGGAGAGAAACCTCTCAGCTGAGGACTCTCAAAGAGCAGACACGGAGGCCTGAAGAAAAATGCGTCTGGCTCCCACTGTGTCACTTACACGCCTCATGTTTTTCAAGAAAATTGAAGGGGATCTAACGTATTTCTTAGTTTATTTGTAAGCCAACAGTAGCCCAGACCAACCGACCAACCCAGTGTGAAACTGTGGATGCTGATCCCATGGATACAAGGGTCCTACTGTACTGTCTACAGACATAACCATTAATTTCCATGATTCACATACTGTGTAAGTTTGCACGGTACACAGTTTAAACTGCCCAAATTTGGAGAACTAGCATATGGCAACTCTACTGATAGATCAGTATCTGCCTCTTTTATCCACATCCTTGCCCCGTTCATATGTAAAGCCAGGGGTCAGCTGGACGTCTTTTCTTTCACAAAACTCCCTATGTGGGGAGGGGGATAAAATCATCCTTCCCTTTAGGTGTTTCTATCCCATGGACAGTGTAACTTTCAAGAGGAAATTACTGTAACTGGAGAAGTGAGTGTAAGCATTTCCTGTCGGGTGACTTGTGTGTTAAGACACTACCTACGCTGACTTCTTAACCTGTGGCAATTTGCAGCTGAATGTTACGCCACTTGCCGTTGTTCTGGTGGAAATACGCACAAAGATTCTAGCCATTACATTCTGTAAACAGCTCATAGTTAAATGTCAACACTTAAAGATGGTAATTTAGCTCAGTATCTTCCTTTGTGTTTTGGGGGTTATCCCAGAAAGAACAAAATTATAGTAGTCACATATTTGTGGGTTTTTTCTCTCCTTTCCTCCTCTTCTTCTCCTTTTTTTCCCTTGATTATTTTTGCAGGGTCCCGGAACATCTTGTGAAGAGCATAACTTGGCAGACGCTTCAAGCTGTGAATTTCTGCCACAAACACAATGCAAGTAGC